GTGTCCAACCCCTCTCCAGGTCTCGGGTTCCAGAGCCAATGCAATGTGTCGAGGTGAGTCCGACTATATCTAGCCGGTACCGCTCAACCTCTGCCACAAGCTCCGGCTCCTTCCCCGCCAGCGAGGTGACGTTCCATGTCCGAAAACTAGTTTTCTTGTCTGGGGATTGGACCGCCAAGGCTCCCGCCTTGGTCTGCCACCCGATTCGCATTGCACCTGACCCTTCATGTTCCTCCTGCGGGTGGTGGGTCCACAGTTGGACGAGCCCATGTATCCGGTTCGGGCTGGGCCCGGCCGGGCCCCATGGGCGAAAGCCCGGCCACCAGGCGCTCGCTCACGGGCCCCAACCCCAGGCCTGGCTCCAGGGTGGGACCCCGGTAACCCTCCGGGCCGGGTACTCCGACTCTTCGTTTTAACCGCCATGAAAGATCCTTCGAACCGTTCTTTGTCATCCCATTACTCCTGTTATTAATTATGCATTAGTAGTAGTGGTAATGTAGGGTGGTGCCAATAATTACCCAAGAATATATTTACTGTACTACTACTACTGTACTATTTACTGTTAGTCTTTTTTTAATATAAACACTCAAGCAGGATTGGATTTGTTTTACTTTTATTCACAATGCTTCTAAGTGCAACTTAGGAAAAACAGTAATTTGTTGTACCACTACTACTACTATTACTACTACTACTATTGCTACTATTACTACTACTGCTGCTGCTGCTACTACTATTGCTACTACTGCTACTATTACTACTACTACTATTACTACTACTGTTGCTGCTGCTACTACTATTGCTACTACTACTACTGCTACTACTACTACTACTTCTACTACTACTGCTGCTGCTGCTGCTGCTGCTACTATTGCTACTAATGCTGTATGGTTGCACAATATATCGCAAATATATCGTTATGGCGATATCAGCATGCACAATATGCATATCGCAAAGAACAGATAAATATCGCAATGAATGGTCAGCTCAAATGTTTGCTACACATATCGCATTCAGTCAATCAAATGGAAGCACGATGTATTTTTTAACAAATCAAATAGAGCTCTTCACCCATTTGGCCAATTGGGTGGGTTCTCATAGGTTAGATGCCCGCCCCCGAGGCGGACGGCACTTCATTTTGATGGTTAGCAAACACCTGAGTTAGCTTTGTTCTGCTCTTTCTGCTGATTCTGCTTTTCCCTGGATCCACTGGTTGCCTTTTCTTGTTCATTTTCTTTTCCCCTTTCCTCACATCTTTTGCTTTTCTCGTTTTTATGATTTTTTTGTTTCTTAGTTTTTGATTATTTTTTGTTCCTTAGTTAAGTTTTTATTTATTGCAAGTAATATCATCATCGCATAATTAATCATTGTTATCGCATATCACAGGTTTTCCTAATATCGTGCAGCACTATACTGCTACTACTACTACTACTACTACTACTAATAATAATAATGATAATAATAAATCTAATAATAATGATAATAATAATAATTATAATAATAATAAGGTCAGAATGAAAAATCTGTACCATCCCTTAAAGCTGGATCTTTGCATTTTTAGTATAGAGGAAAAACAATTGGTTTTGAGATAAGATTTTGAGCATTTGTGACATCTTAGGCAGCCGACACCCCGCGACGTTTCAGGAGCTTGTCTGAAGGAAGCCTGGCAGCTCCTCCAGTAGTGAGGGAAAACCTCAAAGGACGTTCCCACCGAGCCCTGGCTCACTGTTCTGTATCACCTGGAGGTGAACCATATAGACTCTGACACCGAAACCAACAATGTTGTGAGAACGTTTGAGTAAAAATGCTTCTCAGCTTTTGGCCTCAATATTCCCAAGTGTCGAACAGGTCTGCAGCAGGGATTGGATTTCCGTATTATAGCGTGTGTTAAGAGTCGGTCCATTCTTGACTGTTCAGCCGACCCAGCTGAAAGTGATGGTGGAGGAGCTTCCCTGAAGTAGAGGCAAACGTGTTGGCTGGTGGGAGGAGTTGTCACCTTAAATCAGGGACAGTCTGTGTGGTGTCATTAACAGTTGACAACGTAAATATTCAAAGAGGCATAAAAATACAGAAAACCACCTGCAGATGAATGCACAGCAGTAGATTTACCTTATCCAATACGTTCTTTGGCTTTACACAGCATTTTTTGGGAGGATCTGGT